ATTTCCATCCTGCTAATATTCACCCACTTGGTCACTAACATACTACGAAGCACAGTCTCTCTTGCACACAGCAGACATCATAAACCGTACCATTACCCACAAAAGGGGTTTTTCCATTATAAGAACCTACCGAAATGTGTCGAGCCAAGTAACACTTCTCCTGGGCTCTGCATTTGTTTCCACTATGGTGCTCATAACAAGCACGGTGTATAAAGAGGCACTTAGGGTGGTTTCACATTAGAAACCCGGGACCAGATCAGCGTACACTTGACCCCAAAGTCTGGTTCATTTTGAACAATGTGAACACAAGCGTACCAGCTGTGTTGGTCAGGGGGGTGAGGGGTTGCAGGCGGCCTGCTATAAGCATATACGATACAGCCACATGGTGACAAGCCGACGTGAGTGGCTTCATTCACGTTTCTAGCCCCGGAGTTTCCATTATGTTTTGGTTAGCCATGCTGCTAATGTAGCCTACTCTACCTTGGCACCGATTCTACCATTGTGTCAGCGCTGAAAACACAGTTTAACATCCAGTGCTAATGATAATGCAAAGCTCATATTAATAAGGTAAACAAAAGAGCCTTTTTCCCATGAGCATGATTAGTCAATGCTGCACCTTTGCTGGATGATGTCACCGTCCGGAGCAGTGAAAGCTGAGCCAGATCAAGCTTTTTCACTTCATGGGGTTATAGAGCTGGTGCTGGCTGTGGTGAACACAATCCCCTTACTAATATGAAAGCAGACCTGCAGGGAAGGGGGGAGCAATCATGATTGGGCACAGTACAAACAAATTGTGCCTAATGTGAAAACACTCTTATACTGGTTTAATGGTAAAATGTGTTGGTTGGGAGCTAAAGTGGTGAAGACACCACGTTTTTAAAGTCTGTGTTCTGCTTGTGCAACAGCTGTTTGATAAATTGCTTATACAGTCTCGGTTCCTGGCTGATTGTTGTACAATGGAGTGACCCTTCACTTTGCCTCTGCTCAGCTGACTTCTGTGTTTGAAGGGGTGCAGCCCCTCCCTCCTCTAAGCAGAGGCCGATGGAGAAAATACAGTGGAAAAACAAAGCAGGACGGTCTGCATCAACCCGGACAAAGTAAGAGGTGTACCGCTTATTAGGTTCCGATAGTGGAAACGCAGCATATCATGGTGGTTGGAAAGCCGAGCGTAAAAGCAGTCAGATTCACAACAACACACTGGTTAGCACAGTTTGCTGATAATTGAACCAAGCCAGTTTCCATCTTGGAATAGAAATGTCATTCCTCGGTCTGTTGCTGTGGTTCATGTCTGTGGTGTATGCTTTTGGAGACATCAGCTGTTTGTGTAACTGCAGAACAGAACATGAATGGAAAGCAAAAGACAAAGTTATGAAAATAGGCTGAGATGTCTGTTTTTCTAGGAAGGTCTTTTAAACTCGCACACAGACCTGTGGACTATTGATGATCAGGCTGAGGTGTCTGTTTTCCTAGGAAGGTCTTTTAAACTTGCACACAGACCTGTGGACTATTGATGATCAGTTCACACTTTGTTGTGTGGCAGCCAGAGGTGTAAGGGCACTAATTCACACCAGAGTAGAGATGGATTTCAGCTGTCTGACCCTGCACAGTGTGGAAATGAATGACAATAGCTGCTGTTTTAAGGATTAGGGACCATCCAGCCTGACAATAATTACATGTAGATGGCTCATCTCATTTACATTTTCATTTATCTGATCTCTATGAATACATTTAGCACCTTTTACTGGGCAAAGAGACTGAATAATGAGTGGACAGTGGGATTGTAGTTATCAGACAAAATGGGCTTATTTGAGTGTGGCATGGATCTCTTTGTGTGTGTTTGCATGCATACAGCTCTTACTTGGTTGTTTGATAGTGCTGAACTGAGGGAGTGCCTCCTGATTCCCTGGACAATTACTTCCCCGTTGTGTTTTTAATCTGTCCACAATAGTAAAGTGTGTGTCATAGACCTCTGTAGACCTGCAGGGACATACTCTTTAAATTACCTGATGTTGAAAAGGCAGACAGGAGGCCAAGTTAGTACGCATGCACTCTTTAGATCGTTACACATTGAATTGAGACCTCTGTCAGTGTATTTGTGTAATTTCCTTGGATCAAAGGTGAAAATGTTCTAAATCTGTACTAAATGGATGTTTTTTTTTTCAGGACAGGCCTGTGTAAGGGTAATGTTAAGGCCACAGCATAAACCTGAGGTTCCTGTGACCAGACATGCATCTTCAGTTTCTTACATTATGATGAGTTCTATGAATGGACACATACAACAATTTCTGTAATCACCTATAACTATTGTAGCAAACCTGGTGGTTTATAGTGTGTGAGTGGTGAGACAGGTTGTTTTTTTTTTTTTTTTGGTGTTTCAGTGTTTTTTTCCTAAGTAGTTCCTTTTCAATGAGGCGTTTAAATATTGTGCAACAGGAAAGATCACCCAAATGCAATTCATCATAAAATAATTTTATTAATTTATTAATTAAAAATAGGGGTGTGGCTAGATCTCATGCACCAGTGTTGTCGTGTGCTGGGCTTGTTGACAGAGAAAAGAGGAACCTCTCATTTGTGCTTGATATAAGTTTAGTAATACACCTGCACATCTGACTGAACTGTCAGCAGTTGAGATGCTTTGTGGGACATTTGATGCCAGGTTTTGATGAAAATGTGTGGAATAAAAAAGACTCTCTGTTTGCATTAATGTTGGTGTTTTTTTATTTTTATTTTTATTTTTACTTTTGACAGTGTTACAGTGCTAAATCAATGTAGTACTATAACGAATACAAGACTGGTGTCTGTCGGCCTCTGAACCTCATAAAGCTCTTTTATAGGCCGAAGGTCCCAGTGGTGACATCTGCTGTGCGTTTCATCTCAAGTTTGTTTTCCTCTAATTGAACAGTCCCGCTTCTCTTTGCCTGAAAGATATGAAATTTTCTCCACATTCACTTTCTCATGAATTCAGTGTTTGCATAAAAGTATTTTCTTACTCTCTCCCACTAAAGGCTTTTGGTCGCATAGTGTTTGTGAATCCTTATTTTTCAGTGATGCAAATGTGTTTAATTCAAGGTGGACTATTTTAAACTCATATCACACAGTTAAGATGAAAGCAGAATGCGTGGCTCTGTGTGCAAATCTGGGTTTTGAAGCTCTTGAAACAATTGAAAGCAAGTGTGTGTGTGTGTGTGTGTCTCCAAGTGTAAGCTGTCATACTTGCTTTTGCTCTTTGTCTGCTCAGGGATGAGAGAGGGGATGTGAGGTAAACAGTCACATGTTGAGGCAGAAAGGAAAGAGAGACAGTTATAAAAAGACTAATTAAAAATGTGTGGGTACATACAGTATGTTAGAGGTAGAGATGAGGAGAAGGAGGGAGAGTAACAGGCCCACTGGGTGTGATGTAACCCTGGAGTGTAATGGTGCAAAAGATAAAAAGTGGAGGAGAGGTTGGGAGGTGGGGGGGTAAGGTGGTGAAGAGAACAGTTTTTCTGGGAATTGGAGCTTGATGAAACAGAGGAGAATAGCTGGGCATCAGTAGTGCTTTTAACTCCTGAAACATAAGCCCTTTTCAGACATGTACTGCAACCTTGAACTTGTCTAGACATTTCCCAGAGGAGCTGTATGTGTGAACGCAAATGTCCAAATCACTTGGACTGACCAGTTCCCTTGTGTAAAGTCATTGTAATGCCCAAGTGAGCCCATGTGTGAATAGAGCCGGTTACTGTCCATCTGGGTCCATGTGTTGATACAGTTTCATGCCAGTTGCATGAAAATGCATCATTCTAGCCTAGTGCCACTCCTTTTGCCATAGATGGATTATTGAATGGGCCTAGCAGGCCCACGGGCCCAAGGGGTCAGGGGGCCCCTAGATCAGAGAACCATGAAGGGACTCTACAAAAAGCCATAAAAGGAGAAAAACCAGACACTGGACAACTGCAAACAGAACACCACTAAAGCAAGACACAAAATAACTAAAAACAAGACACTTAAAAAATTGCAAATGGCTAAAAACAGATGCAAACCACAAAATGACAAACTGACTACAAATCATGATTGCTCAGTGTGCGAGTCTTGCTCCTAGACGTGTCGGAGAGGTAGGGGCCCCTTCTACATGTCTCTGCCCCGGGCCCATTGTCTCATAATTCGTCCATGCCCCTTGCATTTAACCCAACAGTGTATTTTCAGAAGGTGACGACGTGTTTGACACAGTCTTCTGCTGTGTGCTACACATGTTAGAAGTTACCTCTGTAATTCATATGAGAACTTGATAGTGAGGTCCAGAAAGAGGGAAAGAACTTTGTCTCTAAACTAGTGATGCATTTGTTAGGCCAGTTTTTAAAACTGTCTGGAATAAAGCACCAGCAGAAATAGACTCGCACTAAGATGATTGTCTGTGGTTTCTGTATCTGTTCATTCCATCCACACTTTGTCTTGACTGTGATGAAGACAATGAGCTAAACAAGAGGAGCAGCTGTGCAGCCTTTCAGTGTTTTTTGTAATGTTTTCATAGCACCCCACTGAGCTTGATGCAAGTCAGTGTAAAAAAAGAAAAATGCAGCTGTTTTGCCCGTTGTCCTCTTCTGTTTCTCTCCCCCTTTCTCCTTTTCAAAAAACATTTTCATTTGAATGAAAACCCTCCCTCTGTGTTTTGTTGTGCTCAGAGGGGGGAGGGGTCCAATTGGTTAGAATCCCTTTTGAGGCGGACCAATGCGAGTACACCCCCCACCCCCTGTGCCCAACAGAGGATTGTGGCCTGATGTGTGATTGGCCGGCTGGGAGGAGCTAGACGTGGTATTAAAGCCTGTCCCGTCTGCTCCACTTCACTGTTGAAGAGAGTCCTTGCTTGTCAGTCGGAGAAGTGTGCATGTATGTGTGTTTGTGAATGTGTGTGTGTGCGTGTGTGTGTGTGTGTGGGGATGCTTTTGTTAATGAGAGACGGACAGAAACCAGAGCGCTCTATCATTATCTGACGTGGACTTGCATCTCTTTTTAACCCTCTCCAGGACTGTGGGGCTCTCCAACTGAGTTGCTGACCGGCTGTTTGTTTACTACCACAGCTGGGGAGGTGGACAGAGGCTGAACGCTTGGACAGAGACCGTGGAGGGGATCGTAAAGGCTGTTGTGTTCCCGGTATCATTGCCAGCTGATCTAGCAGACCTGCATTCTGGATAAAGAGTTTCCATCAGCTGAGCTGTAGCTGACCGGTGACCCTGATCCTCAGCCTAATCCGCTTCTGGGTCATTACTGAGCTAATAGTGGTGGCCTGCCTGGGTCTGACGTGAAATTTGACCCCAAGTGACCCTGTCCCGCAAGTAGCATTTTACTGATTCTGGAGTGGGAAAAAGGAAGGATAAAAGAGCAAGAGGGACGACGGAGAAGAACCGGAGAGGAGCGAGAGCAGCAGCACAGAGACTGGTAAGGAAGTTAAAGCTGTGGGATTGAGAGTGCACGGAGGGGGAGGAGAGTGGGAAGAAAGAGTACAAAAGAGCTATTTTCTTAAGCTTGGAGAAGATGTGGGAGCACTAAGGAGATGCTGGTTGACCAATAAAGCTCCAGATGCTGAGATGCTGGTTGACCAATAAAGCTCCACTGTCACACACCTCTGCTTCAGTCAGTTCTCTTGTTTACCTCCTCATGACCACGACATTCTGGTTGTAACATTTCAGCTATAATCACTGTTAATACATTTAACCTAAATACAGAGAGGTTCTTGCTCATTCACTCTTTGTGTGTCTCTGTTTCAAAAACTTTCTGACTGAGAAAATCTTTCTTTCTCCCTGTCAGCTCCTCCAATATGCCGGTGGAGACCCTGCGACCATCAGACGGCCGTCTGCCTGGAGTTCCCTTCACATCTGCAATGCCTTTCAGATTACTTAACAAGGGTCCGGATTACTTTCGTCGTCAGCCCGAGCCTGGGACCCGTAAACTGAGTGCAGTAGAGCGCCTGGAGGCTGACAAGGCAAAGTACGTTAAAAGCCAGCAGGTGGCCCTCACCCGCCAGGCCCCCATCAAGCCACCAATCATCCGCAAGCCCCTTGTTCCTCCAGGGATGATGCTTCAGTGCCAGATCAGCATTCCTCCAGCGCGCAAAGTTCACCGCTGCCCAGCTGATGTGGAGAATGGGGGAGGGAGAGAGGGACCAGGAGGGAGAAGAGGACCTGCGCTTAACTTGGGTATTCTGAATAATCTAATCAATGATGTATGTGATGGACCATTGCCGTGTTCCCAGTCCTCTTCCTCCACCTCCCCCTCCTCATCATCTCCTTCATCAGGAGCTAAGAGCAGTGGCAGCAGTCTGTCAGCAGAACAAGAGAGGAGCAGCCGACTCCTCAGCAACCTCAAGCCGTTGAATCACGGCACCACCTCTTCATCAACCTCTTCCTGCACGTCCTCTCCACTCAATAACAATCTCCGGACACCCACAGCAGAACTCACACGCCGACCACCCCCTGTCCCAGCACGAGCACCCCGCATTGGGGTTCCAGTGCCCTATAGCTCGCCCAACTCAGTGACTGTACGCAGAGTGGATGTTCGGCCTCAGGCTGAGATAAGAAAACCCCAGAGGGCTCAGCTGCAGCCCCGGCTCAGGCCCAAACAGACAGCCCAGGGCCAAGTTGCACATCCCCAGGTCCCACCTCCACCACTGCCTCCACCCCCCCAGAACCAACCCCAGCCTCACCCCCAGCTAAACACGCCCTCCCAAGCACTGCCTTCCCCTCCAGCTTACCTGCCGCCCAGTCCAATGCTTGTTCGAACGGGTGTGATCCCGCCAGCCTCCCCTGCTTTCACTCGTATATCAAACACCAGCTCCAAGGGGTCTGCCCGTAAGCACCCTTCCTTGCACCGCTCCAAGTCAGACCTGAGCGACCGCTACTCACGTGCAACAGCTGATCTGGAGCGCTTCTTCAACTACTGCGGGCTGGACCCCGAGGAGGTGGAGGGGATGGGCGGAGTGGAGCGTTTCACAAGAGCCAACTCAGACATCGTGTCTATCTCCAAGCTCCGTAGTGTCAGCACGCCCAGCTCGGAGTGCGGGGACGAGGCTGACCAGACGAGGGAGGAAGGAGTAGACGAGAATGATGATGACGGGCCCCCCAGAACCAACGAACGGGTCCCCTACGGCATCTCCGTCATCGAGAGGAACGCTCGAGTCATCAAGTGGCTATACGGCATCCGTCAGGCGCGAGATGCTAACAGCGCCGTCTCCAACGTATAGAGCTGAAAGGACTTGAGGACTTGAAAGACCTTGGAAGAATAAACGGGAAAGCAGTACTTTTTGTGTATATGTACACACACCTGAAGACTGAAGCCCGTCTGTTCATCTTCTGCTGCCTTACATCACACTTAAGGATAACCCAGTAGTTGTTTCGGTTTCCAGTGAAGACTTTGTTTCAGTGATTTCCTTTTGAGTCTGGGCTGCCAGTCAGGACCATTTGTCTAAATGGATGAGAGTTTTCCATTATCTTTCACTTGATCTTGTATCATATTGTTGGTATATGTAAGCAATAATAGACCATGTAAATGATTATGGTGAGAATGAAGCCAGAGGATGTGTGCGATTGTAGTTCCTCATATCAAGGTACTGTGTGTGTGTGTGTGTGTGTGTGTGTGTGTGTGTCAGAGAGCATGGCAGAACAAAACCAGACTTGAAACTGGCTGCACACAGAGCTATGATGTGGTGACTGTTGAGCAAACCAGGAAGAGAAACGTTGATACTGTGAAACTTCACACAAAAACTTCCATAAACACATTTGTATTTTCAAAAACCTTTCGGCTGCAAGACTGTTATTGTACAACTTTTCTTTTTTTTTGTCAGCATGTGTGCAAAACCCTTTGTATATGTTTACTTTAGGGCATGTCATTGCAACAACACACACATTACTCACGCAGATGATCACGTCATGGCACAGACGTACGTTCAGATCAATTACAGTAAATATGGTAGCAACTGGAGTTCTGTATATCTGACTGTAACGTTATCTAGCTGTGTGTGTACATCTGAATTATGGCCCCATGTCTTGGCTTATGCTGCACTGGTGCAATGAATAATCTGTTTACTGTGCATGTCTTGGCACGTATGAGAGCAAGTGATGGGGGGTGATCTCAGAGGTGGACGGTTCAAGTAAGTGTGATGAAAAAGTTATTTTGCTTCAGAGTGAAAATCACAGGATGTGTAACAGGACGACTGACTATACTCATGGATAAAAAAAATGTCTAGGGTGTATATGCCTGGTTTTGAAAGTGTCTCAGGAAGATGTACTCTGCATACTAATCAAATGGACCAATATTTATTTGGAAAATGTAATTTAATGTATTTTTAATATTGGACAACTTTGTACAGAATTCAGTTTTTTTTCTGATAAAGTGCAATCTGAATTCATCTACTACAATTCCAGTATATGTAGGGTCACATTTAAACATGCAAATACGAGCAGCAATCACAATTTTTTAAGAGGCGGTTTAATGTTTAATGTGCCTGAAAGAAAGGAGGTCTGTCTTCCCCGTACGAGTTCTCCACCCTGTGCATCGACTGCCTTGACATTTTCAGGATATTTGATTGGAGTGCACAGCAGGTTTTTCCTCCCTGTCACAGGTCACAGGTGTGTACAGCAGCACTCTGTTCAGAGGGCTGGAGAACAGCAGTGGTGTGAAGTGTGCTGTTGAATCTGGCACTGGATGCCCAAAGTCTACAAGTGAGAGATCCAGCATGGTTTGCCATGGTGTATTCTAAACAATCAATTAAAAAATGTTAAAACTATGTCCTTGTTACTGTTTTTTTTTTTTTCCCCCACTGACTTTCAAGTTGACTGTAAATATTACGACGGACCCACCTGGTTTCAGCAGAGGGCTGCAAACAGCCACTCCTCTTTCCGTGCTTATGAAGTCCTGCTGCCAAGTCCTCTGTTTATCATCTGAAATGTGGTGCGGGTCCAGTTCAGCAGAGGCAGGCATTTGGCTTGTCAGATCTCATTTCTGCATCAATAAGTGACGCACAGCACTTCCAAAGAGCCCCCTTTGGTGTTTTTGTTTATTCTGATATTGTTCCACTGCTTATTAAGATGGGAAAAACCTGGACATGCACAGTCTCTCACTCTACTCTTGGACTTGTCTTTCATTTAGTCCCTCACATGAAACGGGTTATTGTGTGCCACAGGTTGCACTTGGAGGGCATGGAGCTTAACATGAATGGGTATGAAAGGGGTGCTTTGATTTAAATTGAGTCCAAACCTATTATATCTTCACTTTTCAAAACCACTTTTTTATGGAAAATAAAAACAGTTGATGAGTGATGCTTCAAAGTTTTTCAATTGTGAGTTCTGTAAAGAGGTACTCTAGCTATTTAGTGGTGCATGTCCATAACGTTAGGCTACTAGAAGCAGAGAACCAAAACTACTGGACCTGTAATGCAACGTGAAATTTCATGTGTTTAATTTAAACTCAAGAGCACTAACCCACTGTGGGTGTCTGAATGGTCTGGGGTCAGGTTCACAACCTTGCTCCTAAAATCAAATGGATTTTTTCGTATGTTTTTTCGATACGAGTTACAGTCAAAGGGCTGTGTCTCATGCTTCCTTCAGTCCACAGCAGTCTCCACCGTGGCCTCACATGTCAGAAATCACTGTCCCTTTACATTGTGACATGCATGATCTCCTCCAGAGTATGATCCTGATTTACTGCTCACGCGGTGTGTTGGTTTTGAGGATGTGGGGTGGGTAGAGGATTGGCGGAGTGTGGTGGAGTGGATCACGCTGCTGCAAATGATGAATTTTGCTGCCTGGGGCGGGCATCATGACAGCAGTCTCCTGATATCCCAGGGAGCTCTGATTAATGGCCAGCATCATTGAGGAGGAGGGAGGGAAACGGATCTAAAAGATGGATGGACACAGCAGTTTAAAGGCTCAGAAAAGGAGGGATAGGAAGAGGAGAGATTTGGAGAAAATTAGACAATTACTGTGAGAGTGAAAGTGATTGCAGGGACTGTCAGCTTTTGCCAGAGGAGCAGATAACCTCAGTCTGCAAAGCTGTCCATCTCTGGGGCTTTAATGCTGAATAAGTGAGATCCGCAGGTTGTACTGACTCTGTTATTGAGCTCTGAAATTAAATCAGGAGGTGGTTCTTCCTTTGAACAGTCAGTAACACTGTTATGTCAGCGTTGGTACAAAACCAGTGTTAGCCTTTTAACACAAAAGGTTTATTGGTGACACTATTTAACAGGTCTGCTTTTTAATCATTTCTTGAAAGTTTCCTGATTAATTACAGAAAAATAGTTAGTGAGTGCTGAGTTGTGTTTGTTATTCATCCAGATGAAACTCCATAAAAGAAAATTTCACAATAAATTTCTCAATCCCAGTTAATATTTATTGTTTGAGATGTTGTTCTTCGTTTATGTTGAATTGTATGGTTGTTTGTAGACAGATTTCACACTGCATGTGTAGCTCACTTTCTGTCCTCCCAGTAAAAGCCTCACATTTGTGCTAGCTTAGCATGTAGAAGTGCATCAACTAACTGAATTAATTGGTACCAAATTATATGACCCGTTCCAGGAAACTTTTTAGGAAATAAATTGGTATTCACAGACCTGTAAAATAAAGTGTTTTCACTTTACAAGTTTCAGTTGGTTAATTCTTGTTCATTTCATGTTCAAGTTGAGTACCTGTGAGTGAGGTGTGCTTTTCCCATATGGGTGGGACTAGACTATGCAAAAAGCTTTTCCACTGCCTGTACTGGCTCAACTTGACTCGACTCTACTCGCTTTTGGTGCCTGGTGCTTGGTTTTCCAACGTAGCTGGTAGCGACACCATATTACACTGTTATGACGTCATCAGCAACCGACACAGTAACAATGGAGAACTCTGAAGGTATGTTGTTCTTGATTCTCGGTATGTGGCTGTTTTTAGTTAGTACAGTAACTACAGTAAAGTAGAGGTTAGTGTTAAATAACGCCTTGCACGTTGACGATGCAGTTTCTCTTACCGGTCACCAGTCTGCAGTGTTTACATCACTGTTTGGTATCGCCTCTCCTTGCTTGGAACCTTGATGGAGGTGATACCAAAAACAGTACCAGGTATTATCCCCAACATTTGACTGATGGAAAAACAAATAAGGTGAATGGAGCCAGTACCCGGCGGTGATAACCTCTGACCAGCCTTCATGCAAGTCGTGATGAATGTAATCAGGATGACTTTTTAAATGAGTGACTGCGTAGCCTATGTGTTTACTGTCATTATGGGTACAGGTCTGGTTGCATATTCACGATTTGGGAGGGAGTCCAGTTTTTGATTTCGAGATATCTGTGGGTGGCAGGTCAGTACTAGTGCTGTGCTTTGTGAGTGCAGTTTTGCCAACTGGATCAGCGCAGGATCCACTCCAGCTGATAAAGTCATGTTAGCTTCACCTCTTATAAATGGACTGCATTGGTTATTCCAGCTGTTTTGTTGTTGCTTCTTGTAAAATCTTTAGTGAGACTGTAGAATTTAGTTAGTCTATATATGTCTTTGTCCTTCCCAGAACTGGTTCTGTTAGCTGCTGGCAGAGACATAATGACTTACCGTACGTGGTGCTTATAGACTAAAGATTCACATCAAATCAGTTTTGTAAAACAACTAATTCTTTGTCCATGTGTTCATCTTTCATATTTGTTGATGGAAATTTTGTTCTAGTATCATATCATATACAGTTCTCATTTTCAAAGTTACATTTTAGCTTCCTGATTCAAGAAGCTTCCTGCATTTGAACAGTTTCAAAACTGAAGCCCTACCTGTTGTTCTTAAAAAGCCATTTGGAGGAATTCCATGGAACAAAGGCAGAAGTGAACCTGGAATGTTGCTGTTATGTGTGTCTTAACCACCAGACCACCACAAGAACGTTTTACCAGACTGGATTCCCTGTAGTCTGGAAGTACTGAAAAGTGATGTCCAATGAGCAATTCTCTTTCCTAAAATGGACAGCAGGGCAAAAATCATGGGTTTGGATGCAGATATACAAAGAGAAAGACAGAGATCACAGATTTACTGTAGCCAGGTTTTGTTCCAAGCTGTCACAGTTTGTTGTTTGGACCAGCTCATCACATGTTGCACACATTTTGCATCAGTTCTTCAGGCCACTCTTACATAACTAATGAGTCAGTCTGGTACAACAGTCCCTTTGTTTTCCTCTGGTATCAGTCTCACTGTTACATCACCAAGAGTGGACACCTCTGACCTGCTCCCTGGGTGATGTGATGAGTCGAAAAGGCTAAAACGGTACAGCTTTGGGGAAGAAACACATGTCCCAGGAGGATAAGAACCCTCTGCCTGCTGTGGTCCTCCTGTGGACTGATGAGGAAAACATGCCAAGAACCATTTCTGCATCATCCTCATACCCTCTCTGTCTCTCTCTCCCACAGAGGCTGACCATATGTCCATATTTACTGAGAGATAAGCTAAGCTTTGGCATCCAGTCAGAACACACACACACACGCACTTTATATTTGAGTGTCTTGATCTTGTTCCTACTGCTTTTTTAAGCAGCGCTGCTCTGAGTGTGTGTACATGTTTGATGACTCTTATGGTGCTTACATGTCAAGGGTGCTTCCAGTGTTTTAGGGGGATCAAAACACATGAGGCCAGTTTGTTTTCTTGGCATGCATGCAGCTCAAGGTCGGAGTAAAGCAAAGTCAGTGATTTGTTTCTAAACACATTATACATGTTGGAAAATTGTTGTTGAAAACCTGAAAAGACTGAGAACTATGTAGCGCTGAGCTGTGGAGTTAGACCATTTCATCATTTTGAGTTCATTATTTTTGGGTGGGGCAGAAACATGGCTCGATGACATACTGGAGCCATCCATAACATTAACATAACCCTTCTTCCTGACACGGTAATGTAATAAATGCTAGGGCGCACAGAGCTCTATGCTTGCATTTGTGTCGACACATGAAGCTGAGTTTTGAACAGGGGAACACATCTCAATGGGGGAACACTTTGACACAAGACCAGTCAGGAAGCCAGGACAACACATTAAAAAAACATTGACAAATAAGCTACATTTTCACAGTGACAATATCTCAAATCCTACCTGACATGTTTGAGCCAGAATAAGAAAATGGACAGTATGACAAACAGCAACGGCATTAATGTGAATTTCTCCTCCATAGATAAGTAAACAATAGTATATATACCGATAAAAAGAGATGTGTAACACTCTACAAAGTTGGTATTTGAGAAACTCCATGTTTTAACTGGCCTAATGCAGACATAGTAACTTCTCCAGCCTGACAACAATTCTCTACAGAAACAACGCATTAACAGGCATGCAACATGTGTGTGTGGTTCTTGTTTTTACTTACCGTTTCAGCCCACCAAATAGTGGGAACTTCATATTATTTCCACTTTACCCTGACTTTAAGTCCAGATTTATTTGTGTATGCATGTTTGGAGTGTGCTGACAGCTCCGGTGTGGTGGACGTTTAATTGTGTGTGTGAGAAAGGGGTTTTGGCTTAGAAACCGTGTATTGCTTGATCCCAGTAATGTATGTCAAAGCCTGATATAGTCATTTTGAACAACCTCAGTGCAGGGAGTGATAAGCTGATTAAGGGGCAGATGGGATCTTTGTGTTTGCGACTAGGTTTGTGCACACGTGTGTGTGTGTGTGTGTGTGTGTGTCTCTTTCGCTGGGACCCACTATATATCTTGTGGGAAAACAAAACTGGGCTGTCTATGTTAGCTTAGCGTGTTGTTGCAGAGCACAGTGACACTTCCCTTATCTCTCAAAATCCT